CAAATGCAATCAAAATGTAGCTGCTCCCACGGTTTATCATCCCAAAGCCAAGTCGTGTTAATAAACAAGGACAATTCCCTCAGATTGCGATAAATACTGCCGTCGAAGCGTTTAAATTCGCCAAAATCTAACGCTGAGAGCACATAATGGCGAGGCGTACGGCGACTGAATGGAAAGAAGTCAAAAAAAGATCCATCGGAAAGACGAGCTCACATGGCCTGCTCACATATTCACATGTTCGCCACATGTCTTATCACATGTCTTAGCATTAAATGGCACCAGTTTACTGGCCGTGACATGTCCCTGCACAAATCAAGCGGGGTGGCCATTTTGGTGTCCTTACAGGAATGTGGTTTTTTTCGGCCTATAACCGTGCGCAGGGAGACCAACTCTGAAAAGCCACAGATCAAAATTAGGTTTGCGTTCCACTTCGTCGAACGCAATTAACCTAAAAATCTTTAATCGTTACCCGGTAAGAGCCACCATTCCATTAAGACCCTCTCTTTTCCCCATATCAACAGACCATAATTTCTTCTCACACGACTCCGAAAGAACCTTTTATCTGAGGCACGAGGCCTATAAATATCTTGAATAATAGGGGAGTATATATATGAAGTAGTATAATTAGAAGTTTAAGCATGTAAACTGTGGTTAATGAGCTCTATAGCCGACATCATAGTTGTCATCCAAGGTTGTCATCAGTTCTGTTATCTTACCCCTATTAGCCATTGTGTGATAACCTTAGGTCAATATCCAATGCAACACAATCGTTTTACCATATGGAAAATCATACGACAAAGCTCCCAGTGATTTTTCACCATGCTGTCATGTGATTTCAGCGTGCTATACCCCTCCCAACTCCTTCAATCCCCAGTTAGTAAAATCCCATTGTTTTCTGACCCTGTCCCAGCTGTGAGCTAGTATTCAAGATAGGCCGTTCTCCGCTTTCCCCCCCGTCCCCGGCCTCCCTCCCTGTATTGGTAGCTTTGTTCTTTCCCATCTTTTTCCTCCATGTAGTTGTAATTACCTTTCGTGAGAAGGTGGCTTTCGCCTGCTGAACCNCCCCGTCCCCGGCCTCCCTCCCTGTATTGGTAGCTTTGTTCTTTCCCATCTTTTTCCTCCATGTAGTTGTAATTACCTTTCGTGAGAAGGTGGCTTTCGCCTGCTGAACCTTCTCGGTTTATTCACGGCCACGTTCTATTTGTTATATTGTGTGAAACCATAGCTGCTTAGTCTATAAAGGTTTCTTGGTGGCAGGGAAGTGCAACCTAAGCTGCACTTTGCCCCACAGTAAGTGCTATGGCCACCCTTGGAAATAGGTCCGGATCTCTCCAGGATGGTGTCATCGTACCATCTGACCTATTGTCCTCCCAGAGGGGCACCCCTCTTCTGGTCCATCCTATGTTACCAAGGAAATAGATCCGGATCTCTCCAGGATGGTGCCATCGTACCATCTGACCTATTGTCCTCCCAGAGTGGCACCCCTCTTCTGGTCCCCTCAGTAACATAGGTTCCCCTAGAGACGCCGCTACTCTAGGCTCTGTCTTCCCTGCCACCCACGTTTTGCTACCATAATCAGTGTTTTGTTTCTGTTTCCTGCATCTACTCAGCAACAGGGGAGGGGGGTTGCAATGTTGGTACTGTTAGATCTGCCCCTCCCCCTGTGTGGGTGTGGCTTTAATAATTTATACTAAATTGCACAGCAGCAGGGTCTCATTAATATTTTGTTTCACTACAAATTTTCAACTGACTAAAAACAGCAAAATGGAAACTTGACTCATCACCTTAATCAAATTACGATATCAAAGTAAGTCAGTAAGTAAGTAAGAGACTGTATTTTATGAGGGCAACACTCAACAGTAACTAAATTACTGAAAAACTTGTGACCCTCTAAAAGTAAAGTACAATTCAGTCAAAACTGTACACCTGATAATGAAGGTTAAACTTTTTAAAATTAGTTACCGAGATATCCCAAAATGGATTTCAATGAAAAACTTCTAGTAGATTGTTGTAATATATAGTAAAAAGTTGTAAAGTTTAAGCTGTAAAAAGTTGTGAAGTTAAAGTTGTAATATGTGGCAAAAAGCTCAAGTTATGTCAGCGTTTTATCACCAAGACGTAGTGAGCAACAAAATCATTTCATATCCATGTCAACTTTATTTGCTGACGACTGACGTTTGGATTGCTGAGACCTGGAATCGAAATAAGATGCAACATTATTTTCAGTTAAAACACGAAAATGTGCTACTAAAGACCTACCTCTTAACTTGGACACTGTTAAAATAAAAAAAAAAATCCAGAATTTGCGAAAAATGAAACTTCTTTGACGTGAAGCGAAATACCGGAATACAACGAGGATCGAAATCCATCAATCACATGCAACAAGTTGACACGGGCGGTGGCAACTTAGTCAATCGACTTGTAGCGTGATGAAAAGTAGCTATAGCTAGTAAAAATATCACGATGTACAGTTCAAGTGACCACACGATAGAAATACAATAATACACTTTATCATAATTTTCATGAATTCTTGTCAGAATAAAAACAAGTGTAGTTGATGCATTTACTAGAACAGACATAGGCATTGACATGAAACCATGTTTAGTTTTTCGAGAAGGTCAAGTGTGCCTAAGCTTATACAGTTGTTTTATGTAGTATTGATTCTCGTTAGAGCTCTATGAAAACTCACATATATCTGAGATGAGTGTCTTCAAATTAGTCACGCACCATTAAAGGGCGGCTGTAAGCCCAAATGTGTCTGTCTGTGTCCCTTGATTGCTTTTTACTTTGACGCTCTTGTTTACTTTCCAGTTTCTTGTGTGTAACTCCATGGTGTTCCCATCCCTGTGTTTACCTTCCCCAGGCATCAGAGTGATACTCATGGCCCCGCTATCTTTCGCGGAAGAGGCAATGGAAGGCTTATCCACCGTGCCTGTTTGTAGCTGGGTTTTTAAGACATTTTTACCAACCATGCCACGAATTTCTCCTTGCAAGTCATTGAGAGGGAGAAGCAAAGCTAAACAGCAAGAAAAAGACCAGTGTGGATTTTTTCGCCATTCATTGAAGTATTGAAATAAGTAAACCAGGTACTGTACTGAAAGGCACAAAAATAAGACGAAAGGTGTTTCAACTTGAGTAATATTTACCTTAAAAGTTCAATTATCTTATGTAAGAGTACCTTCAGTATGTAGGAGTTATTTAAGATTAATTGAACTAAGAATAATTGAACCAACATCGCCTTCCCGTATCAAAGCTTGGTTAAATTAAATTATGAGGTAGATTACTGGCAATTCATATTGCATGCAAGCTTACCAACAAGTAGGCCAATCACCAGAGAATTTGCTCCAAGTATCAATACATTCATCGCCTTTGCGTCTGTGTCTCGGTCAACCGAGCCTGATATATTCTCTGCTGGAATTCTGCTCACAGCTCCAACACCCAAATTGACTACAGTAACGGCAAGGGACGTAGACATCAATCTGTTCTCGAACACATCGTGTATGGGCTTGACCCAGCAGAAAAGCATTCCATACATTCCAGCGACGACCCATGCCAAGCCAATGTAGGATCG